TAATATATATCCACCCTTTATTCTGTTTTTAGGCCCATATTTTCCCTTCTCCCCCCCCCCTTGTTGTTCATGCACTTTCATATAATTTTACTCTTACATTCTCAAGATCTTGACTCATAAACTATCAATGTCTCAACTAAGACACGATCTTGATCTATCAATGCCTCAACTAGGACACGATCTCTTAAACTATAAATGTACCAACTAGGACATGATCCTCACAACTACATTGGCGTGGACTATCAATTTCTCAACTAGGACATGATCCTCACAACTATTTTGGCGTGGACTATCAATTTCTCAACTAGGACACGATCCTCACAACTACTTTGGCGTGGACTATCAATTTCTCAACTAGGACATGATCCTCACAACTGCTTTGGCGTGGACTATCAATTTCTCAACTAGGACATGATCCTCACAACTACTTTGGCGTGGACTATCAATGTCTCAACTAGGACACAATCCTCATTACTACTTTGGCGTGGACTATCAATGTCTCAACTAGGACACAATCCTCATTACTACTTTGGCGTGGACTATCAATGTCTCAACTAGGACACAATCTTCATGACTACTTTGGCATGGACTAGCAATGTAGCACACGATCTTAACAACTACTTTGGCGTGGACTATCAATTTCTCAACTAGGACACGATCCTCACAACTACTTTGGCGTGGACTATCAATGTCTCATCAAGGACACGATCTTCAACCAGTTTATATATATAAACAGCGTAGTTTAAGTTTAATTTATAAGATTATCGAAGATAGATACAACATAGTTAACACATGTTTACAGCGTAGTTTAAGTTGAATGTACAGTATATGCCTTAAATTGATATATATATATATATATATATAACTAAAACTTTTGTTTTGCCGATAAAAATTGGACAATCTATCTGTCTATCTATCTATATCTATATATCTATCTATTTATCTATCTATCTATACTCTAATCTCTAATCTGCCTATCAAGACTAAACTAATCTGTCCAGTACTAATCTAAATCAAAGGCCTAAAATATATACATACATATTACATATATATACGATCCATAAATATATATATATTTATATATGTGTATATATGTAAGGGTGTATATATATATGCTGGATATTGGTTGAACATGAATATATTTCAAGGCCAAACAATATTTCCAATATTTCAAGGTGACGGGATTTTACTAAACTTTCTCAGTGTTTTCCACATTACTCACATTACACATGACTCTACCAGTGTCACACTCAGCATTAATATATACCCAGCAGCATTTTAACAATTTACAAGCATGCAATATTGTAGTTAATTTTTGCATGCATCACTCTGGACTAACCAGCGCTAGATGCGTTCGGTTTCTTCAATTTAAACTCATTATTTTATTTACCAACAATGAAGTATTAAAGAGAAAAATTACATTTAATGAAGTCAAATTGTGATTAAGAGTCACAGCTTGCTGGATAGAATAAGGATGAACCTGTTAAATCTGCAATCTGCATGGTTTTTCATTAAATATGATTTACAAACCTTTGCCTTTACGAGTTATTTTTTAACTTTATACCTTTGACATTTTAAACTTGGAGCAGTCGATTTAGGAGAATTCTTTATTTAAAATATTATAGGTTAAATGATATCAAGATTATAAAATTCAAGTTTGAATTGAGTGATTTCTTTCATTCGTATTTATTCTATACCCTTTACATTTTAACGCACATTCCCTTTAGATCAATAATTATTGGTCGAAGTTTGACCCAAACACATATGTAAATCTACTAAGAAAATGTGTCAGTAGTGAAAAAATAATTGAGCAGAGTGTCCAGAAATAATACTTTTGACAGTTTGTTTGTAATTGCCAGAACCAGGGACAGGCAACAGAAGAAGAGGAAATAAATGTTAAAGGAGAGAAATAAAAACAAGAATAATTAAAAAAAAATGTTTATTGTATTACCTAGCTGTACCCAATTTATTTAACAATTCGTAAAATGATAAATTGTTAAAAAATAATTATGGAACACGATGTTTGACCTAAACGTGTTGGGTTCCTCTCGGTGAAAACAAACACACGTCAAAAGTTAATTACCTCGAAAGAAAACAAACATCTAACATAAAAAAGTCCAAAAATAAGCAGAAAACAAACAATTCAATTGAGGTGAAAACAAAACAAACAAACAATATAAAACTAATACACATTCAGAAAATTATCAGTAAAATCTATTTATAGACTTAGTTTATAGTTTAGATGTATAAGTGATAATGTTACGAAGCAAATACAATTATTATTGTATCTGAAAATCAACTGCACACTGCACAATTTCTGTATCTTAAGTTGTTTAGACTATTTAAAAACATTTCTTTAAAGTCTAAAAGTCACAGATGTTTTCCATAGCTTTATGAGGACCACTGTAAGGTAAATCTCTGAATCAATCTCGCTACAAAAGAAAAATCTTGTATCAATGGATATCTTTTATAAAGCGGGCAAAAATGTACTGCATCGGTGAAGTTTTCGGTTTAAAATAGTTACTCAAAAGAAGCTTTTATATGTAAACTATAGTCTAGTAAAAAAAATTTAATTATAAACACGGAAATGATTAACTATGAATTGCTCTTGGCAACTTAGTACATGGGAAATTCATTAATGATATATTTAGTGCTAATATCTACAATTTAAGGCCTGGGGAAAAAATCTACATCTACATTTAATACTGCGTTTGAATGACAATGAGGGGAAAATATGGTTTTTTCTATCTTGGAAAATCTATCTCTGCTGCAACAATTCTAGCACGTCTTTTTCGGAGAGTAAGTACGATTGTGAATTATCAATTTGCAGATAAAAAAAAAAGGACATCATTTTTGCTTAGACGACGGTTTAAAGGAAACCACTGTGAATCCACTCTTTAGATAGAGGCTTATTTGAAATGTCACTTACAGTCCCTTTTAAGTCATTTTTATCGCTTCATGAATATCAAGACTTCATTCATATATATAATTGATTCATTTTGTCAAATAACTGTATTTATTTTTCAAACCCAAACTCTTTTGACCAAGGATGATTTTCTATTTAAAAATTAATGCATTTGAAAAAAGATTTCTTTACGAATTAACGTTTCGATGAGTTTTGTTCAATATTTCATGTTGGCACTTATCTCATCTTATTTTAAATATTTTTATGTGAGAAACAGGTAAATAAAAATCTGAATTTAAACAGTTCAGCTATACTGCACTCAACTACAAATGTAGTGAAAAATCACTATAAAAATCTTAAATAGTCTCTTTTGTACGGTTGTAAAGATAACGGGATATTTAAGAAAATTATGATTCTACGAAACCAGAAGTTAATAACCCGTAGACAAGTATAGAGGCAACCTAACCACATAGAAAATACGTTAAACCAATCAGAAAACAACCTTATAATTTGTCTTTAAGACGTCATTTGGTTTCTTTCAACAATATAAAGAATTGTACAACTTAAGTTAATAATACGTTTTAGTTTAAGATGGGAAAAACATTGATAGTTTTTCAGTTCCTCTTAAGGGCTCCATCAATTCAGCTTAAAAATTTCTCTAATATTTTCTGCAGAAATCTGATGCATTGTGCAAATATTTTGCAACTAATCCGGTCCATTATAAGTTACGATGCTGTATCGTGAACATAATCCATTTTAAATCATCATTTTATAAGAAATCAGTATTTTCCTCGCTGTAAGTATTACGATACCGGTCCATTTAACGTTCAAGTCACTGAATTCATGATTAACTACGGAGCACATCAATGTATATAAGACACATCAGCGAATCCAAAAATGAAATATAAATATCGCAAAAGGATTTCAACTTAGAAAAAAAAACATTATCTGAAGGAAGATTATTTTATAGTTTCTATCGTATTCTTATAGTTTATCTACATTTAAAACGTAATTAATACATAATAGAATATAATTTAAACAAGAGTTTCAAAAAATGTTAAATCAAGATCAATTTAAGAACAGTTAAAATTAACAAAAATATATTAAAGATTAATTATAGCATGTTTTTCATCATTTCGATTTTAATTTGATCATGTTGATTCTATTTCAGAAGGTTGCGTATTATACTGAACATTAATATGTGTTTTTTACACATCTTCAAACCTTGTCTAAGTTTGTTGAAAAATCGTAATTAAGTGAACCTTGCATTATTTTACTAAATTCTATCAGAATGTTCGAAATATCGAATTGTCTTAATAGATTTGTCGATTACACGTTATGATTTCTGCTGACAAGTCACGTCAATCATCGTTATCTAATTTTTCCTTAAAAGAGGCTATAAGATCTTCTGAGATATATTCCAAATAAAAGAAATGCCCGTGCAATACTTTGAAGTCAGTCTGGTCGATCAATCACATAGATTCATTCAGCCTGCTCATAAAAAGTCTAATCAATTTTAAAGACAGAGCCGGTTGACTTTGAAGTGTCGCAATGTTTTGGGTTTTGATTTGATCGCTCTACCTCACATATGCTTTTCTGTAGCCCTTTACATGTAAATTTTAGCTTTGGTTTTTAAGAATTAATTGGAAAAATTCTCATCGATTTTTGCTTGCGAGCTTGAAACCTTTAAATCACGTGGAATGAAATGTTGCAATTCAGGCTTAAAGAAAATACAAATTTTTGCCCGGTTAGATTTCATAGCTATGCTCCCCCTTTAAAATATCAAAGTTACGCCTCATATAACTGAGTTAAACGCAGTAATTGTGAGACTGACATATTGAGTGACACATTTTTCGAACGAAAATCTTGTAAACTATTGAATATGTATTTATCTAAAAATGTATATTTTATTAAACAAAATTTGTTAAAAAAGAAAAGAAAATCAAAATTATCAAAAAAATTTTAAATGTTCCTAACTGTTCAGCGTACATATTTGGGCCAGTTGACATAGTAGTAATTGAGAAAACTGATTCTTTGGATGTTTTAAATGAATCTGCTTTTGAAGAGTCGTATTTGTAATTATTTTATTATTTAGGATGGAAGTTCTAGAGAACTGGGAGTTAAACTTCTCCTTAAACCTGAACCTAAACCTTGAGGACAGGATATCCTCAGCCTCTGGTAGTCCTCATTCATCCTCTACTCCAGGTAGTCCTTATTCATTCTTTACTCCAGGTAGTCCTTATTCATTCTCTACTACAGGTAGTCCAATAGGTAGATAGATATTAATGGAACATTTCCCTGGGTTTGCTTAAAAATGCCTGCAAACATGAACCAGGAAACCTCCATTGAAAACCGTGATAGACACAACAATTGCAGTGATCAATACAACTTTTATCCTTAAAATGTGTTGGCAAAGGTTAGAAATTAAAATATAAACTAAATATTCCTCTTTTTGATGTTTCGTTTGTGTTTATGCAGAACAACTTGTACTGTACAAGATAAACAAAAGTTTCAATATTTTTCGAGAACAAATTTTAAGAAATACTTTAATACAAATTTTTGATAAAAATATCAATTAAGAAGAAAGATGGGTAGTCAAAAACTAACTTTTCAAATGTGGGGCGCCTAGCTCACTGAATTTTTATAATTTAATGTGTGCAGGGAGTGCAGGCATTATCTGTAAAACTGAATGTATAGGAAATGAATATAAAAATGAGAAAGGAAAGAGGAAGTTGGTTCACGCAGTTTGAGTATTTCAAATACTAGCATGCTAAAATAGTAAAACTAGCCAGGGGCATGCAGGAAGGGCCATGGGGAATACCCCCCCCCTCCGCAGAAAAAGTAAAGTCTACAATATCCAGGGGGATTTAGCCCCCAACCATGTCCTCTTGACTGTGAAAAATGTGAAGCCCCCCCCCCCCTGGACGCCCCTTAAAACTATACTACACTTTTAAACGTTCACTCCCTTTAAAGGAAATGATTATGTTTTTATGATTACACATAATCATTTACAGTGATTCATATGCTGTGGATTAATAATTAGTGAGCCTTCACGTTCATCCATTTTCCTCTCTTTATTCATTACTTTTGTGTTTTGTTGTAAATTGAGTGCGCTTTTTAGATGGTTTTTGATTAAAGGATCTTAAACTGAATTTATTTCTATATTGAAATCTATTTAGTTTGACGCAACATTTTAAATAGAATCTAATAATATTTAAACTGATTCATTTTTAATATAGTCAAAAATATTATAATTATTCATCAAATGGCTTTATAACAAGATCTTAAAATATTTTTATTTGAAAGAATCTAAACCGTTATCTGAGGAACTATGACTTAAAAATCTTCATTTTTGGGGAATAAACAATTCTTGGTCATTTTCTTGCTTGCCTCTATTTTAGAAAATGTCCAGATAAAAAAATTCAATTTCTAAAATAAGGATTTAGCTAAAAGGATCGAATATATCTCCATAAATACTGTATTTAGCTAAAAGGATCGAATATATCTCCATACATACTGTATTTTGCATTTTTTCTCTGCTAATGAAATCCTAAAAACATATTTGAAAATTTTAAAAAATCTTTTTATAATTCTTTAATTTATCTTATTCTTTTATGCAGAGAGTGTTCCGACCAGTCCTTATATTGGTAAACTTATTAAGGTAAGTTTTTTGTTAACAAATTTATTATTTTATTTCTTGTTTTGGATTATTTTGCTTATTATTTAATGATGTTCATAAAATTCAAGAAACGAGCGACCCGAGATAATATGTATTTAAAACAAAAAAAATCTTATTTTACTCTTTTTTAATACTAATTTTAAATAGCTAACTGATCTCTAAATCTGGGCCTCTAGCAGGTCACAATTGAAATTACGTTTAAAGTCCCTCTTATGGGATAATTTGTGCATTTTGCAAAAAGTAAACAGTCCCTTTACAACCTTAGACTTGGTCAATGATCATCTGTTTCTTTTCTAGCTGACACCTGTTGAATATTTCTAAATGGGCAATTCTTATCTATAATTCCATTTAAATAAATTGTGGTTTTGTAATATTTCATCAGGCCGAACTACTAAACCAGTATAGATCTATATCTTCTATTTAATAAAGCTCTTCGTTCATATATATATAGCTGGCCAAACGGCTGGACCGAATCGGCTGAAATCTTTTTGGGAAACTCGTGTGTATTGTGTATCCCGTGGGATAACATAATATTGAAATCCTGTAAAGGTCTTTATAGTTTATATTAATATCCAATAAAGGTCTATATATATTGATGTCCAATGAAGGATATATATTGATTTACAGTAGAGGTCCATATCTTGATATCCAATGAAGGTCTTTATAGTTTATATTAATATCCAATAAAGCTCTATATATATTGATGTTCAATGAAGGATATATATTGATTTACAGAAGAGGTCCATATCTTGATATCCAATGAAGGTCTTTATAGTTTATATTAATATCCAATAAAGCTCTATATATATTGATGTTCAATGAAGGATATATATTGATTTACAGAAGAGGTCCATATCTTGATATCCAATGAAGGTGTATATATTGAAATCGAATGAAGGTCTTTATAGTTAATATCAATATCCAATAAAGCTCTATATATATTGATGTCCAATGAAGGATATATATTGATTTACATTAGAGGTCAATATGCTGATATCCAATAAATTTACATAAATTGATATCCAGTTAAGCTCTATATATTGATGTCCAATAAATGGCAATATATTGATATATTATACATACATATATATATTTTGATATCCAATGAACGTTTATAAATTGATATCCAATTAAGGTTTATATATTGATACCCAATGAAAATGTTTATATATTGATATCCAAGGAATGTCTATATATTGATATCCAAATAATGTTTATAAATTAATTTCCAATGAATGTCTATATATATTGATATCAAATGAAGGTTACAATGGTATGTTTAATCTATACTTTTCTAAAAACCATAAAATATATAATCTACAATATTGTAAAACTTCTTATTTTTCAAGGACTTTCGCGGGATCAGAGTTTCTCCAAACAAGAGTCATGACTCCGGATATTCAGATTCGGAGGAGGGAGGACGAAGTTTTCTTGAGGATCGCCTGCTATCGGAGGATGGAGGACGTAGCTATCTTGAAGATCGTCTTCTATCGGAGGAGGATGGACTGAGCTATACAGAGGATCGTCTGCTCACTGAGGACCTTGAGCGAGGATATCTGAATGTTCCCTTGAACCATGGTCTCCTAGATATAAACAGGATAAAGTTTAGTTTGAAGCAGCTTGAGTGCGACTATCTTTTGTTCGAACAGGAACGGAGAAATTTCTTCTATTTACAGGATGAGCAGCATTCTTTACAGGAGCTGCTTCGAGGGGAGCAGTTTTTCCACAGAAAGCAGTCAATACGAGAGCTGCGAAAAGAAGTTAGTAGAGTTACAGTTAATCCTGAAGAGCAGTTGAGGCAGGAGCAGTCTTTTCCAGAGCAGCTTAGCGCAGAACCTGCTGAGCATATACAGGAGAGTCTAGATTTGAAAACTGTAAAACAGGAAGATCTCATTTTAAATGATGAACTGAAGAAAGATGTTCCTTCCATTTTGTGCAAGCAAAACGATTTCTTCTACTCACAAAACAGGCATTATATCAAACTATTTGATAAATAATAATCTAACCCTCTTCGGAATCCATTGTAAAACTCCCATTCCTCTTTTCTCTCATCAAAACTATTTAAATGTCGTTCATTTTACTAATTAAGTCATTTAAAGCCTAATTGCGTCAGTAACATTAGGCTAATTAGGTATTTAAAAACAGGGATAAGCCTAATTTATCCCAAACCCCCTGGTGAGATGTGTAGTGGGTGGGTGAAATGTGAGAATGGCTCAGTAACCTTATCTATATTTATCTCTCTCGTTGAAACTTTAAGATTTTCTTGTTCGTCATTTTATATCCTTAATTTCTCTTCCTTGCCACACCTGTGTTAATATTTGTAATCTGCAGGAGACGGAGGGTGATTTAGATTTTAGTAACACAGAGTGGAAAAAAGTTAAAATTGTGATGTTAGAAAATATGCAGAAGAGGGATAGTGTGGGGGAAGGGGAGGCGGGGGAAGGGGAATTTGAAATGTGATCTTTAACTGAAGGGAGGAAGGTAGAATTGAAAGGATTGCACTTTGCCCTCTCCTAGTATAAGATTCATACCCTCGCCAACAATAGATAAAAGAAGATGGGGGGTTATGACCGGAAACGGGAATCTTCAAGCTCAGAAATAGAAAATGTCAACGACGTGTCAGTTGTGCTTCATTAGAGTCAAATCTATTGCATAAAGGGAGAGGAGAGGAGGGGGTAGGGATATCGAAGAATGTCTCAAAATGGAAAATAAAGGGGAAAAATGAAGGTCAGGGAAAAACGGAAATAGAAAAGGAAAGAAAGATGAAATGGATTTAGATATTGAGGGGGATTATTATTTTTGCCAAAATTAATTCCCCTCCCCTTACAAAGCCTGTATTGCGCCCATCCAACCACATTTGAAATCAATTTGACAGAATGAAAACGATTTGAAAAGATTAAAATCAATCTATAACCTTCATGACATATTTATTGTTGTTTTCAATCTTAGAATTTACACGCGAGGTTTTCCGCAATCATCTATTCTCCCATATATGATGGGGAAGATCTGAGGTGTAAAACTTATTTAGCAGAAAACTATTTTTTAATGAACTATTCATGTAAAATTATTTTATTACCCCTCTATGTATTTAAAAACTATTTTCTTAAACTCTTCCCATTAGAATTCATTAAAATACTTAACCCCTGCCACATAATTAAATGTAAAAGTTCCTGGTAATTATTTATCCTTATTTCCCTTTATAATTTAGCATTATAAACTATCTACACGGAAACTAGGAAAATTGACAGAATTAAACAAATTTAAATTCACAGCTGCCGACCAATTACACATAAACTTGAGAAAACCACTCTAAATTATTCATACTTTAAACAAAAACAAGAGTTTGTAAAGAAGAAAATTCTTATAACAATTTAAAACTTCTTGTTTTAAACTTTTATTTAAAAGGGGCTATTTTGAATCTTATAAACATTTACTTTTACTTAATTTTCTAAAAGTTTGGTTTAAAGCGCTAGGGATGCAAGTTACATAACTCGGGTATATGTTTCCAGTGAAAATACAGCACTTATAGAGCACTCAGACACACACACAGACAGACAAACATCAATCACTGTTATCAAAAAAGAACCTCTGGAGAAAGAAAAAGATACTTTGAAAGTAAGTAAAAAAAAAGATCATCCGAAACCGGAGGAAATCGAGGAAAGATTTTCTAGTCTGAATTCAGTAACTCCTTCCCCTCCCAGAAGTAGTCTTGGGTACTTGGATAATCTAAGAATTAGTAGTCCTGGGTACCCTGAGAACCTGAGAATCAGTAGTCCTGGATACCCTGAGAACCACCTGAGAACCAGCAGTCCCGGGTACCACGAGAACATAAGGATCATTAGTCCTGGGTACCCTGAGAATCTAACCTTGCAGAATTCTAGTCAAACACCTTCTCCGAACTGCAATCTTTCTGGTCCAACCAACACTTTCTATTCTCCGACCCAAATTATAAACCCTTCAAATGATATTTATCCAAGAAGAAGAAACTCCACTAGTCTAGGAAGATCAAAAGCTTCTTTTCGGTCCTCACTGCCCCGCTCTGTCTCCGTCCCGCGTCCTCCCTCCGCCTCAAGGCGGAACAATGACACAGATTCCGCCATTATCGGTCACTCCGCCAAACTGGAAGAGTCTGTGAATCTGAGAATATCTCCAGTTGTCCAGAATGGAAAAGAATATCTCGGACCGGTGAAAGACTGGTTAAAACAAATTCAAAGCTGGAATGCAGCAGAATGTACAAATATACTGCAAGCCAAGGTAAAATTTATTATACAATACTATGAGACCCATAAAACTGTGGAAGAGGAAGACGAACCTGTTAAATTCAAATAGTTTTTTAATTTAGCTGGTAAATTGCTTAAATGTCGTCTTTCTCTACCAGACTTTCATGGGTCTCACTGCATGCTTCAACGGTTAACAATTATTTTTTTAAATGTTCGTGAAAATGTTGATATAAATAAAACTAATGTGAAATGTTTTAAGTTAATTTTGTTCATTTAGACCCTTTTTAAAGCACTGCAAGTGTATTTTTAAGTGACCCTCCGCGAAAAGGTGGCATATGCCCGATTTACAGATCTGAGGTACCCTTGAAACCTTAATCTGATTTAATGTGGCAAATATTACGTCGTTTTTCTCACCTAAAAATTGATTAATTTCTCCATTGTTTCTTAAAAACAAGATATGCGCAAGTTTCTTAGAAACCACAAATGAAAATAAACAATTAAAGAAAAAATGCATATCAAATTTATACTGGATCAAACAAAGCTTTTAAGGCCGGGTGCCATTGTAAAATGGGAAATGACATCTTTTAATGGAGGATCAAGTTAAATCACACTTACAGTCCCTTAAACGCAAAGACATAGCGTGCCGCCCCGGTCGAAATAAATGGTTAGCTAAGTACTAAATAAACAACTCCCTCTCTTGTCCTGTCTGTATAAACTATGATGCATACTTCTAAATTGACTGCCACTCACGTTTCTCCTTCATAATATTACTAATTTCGTAAAAGTATAATGAAACAAGCGTTAAAATAATTGCATTCATTCATTTCTTCAAATAATTTAGCCATCCATCCTCATACCAACTTATAATCCAACTTGCCAACCAACCAAGTATCCAACCATCCAACCAACCAACTATCCAACCATCCAACCATCCAACCATCCAACCATCCAACCATC